AAAAAAAAAAAAAAAAAAAAATGGTGCTACTTGTAGCGAAATTAGTGCTTGTTTACTTGAAAAATATACATGTTTGACAAATATTCTCTACTTTTTAATATTATCGCAATGCATACAGCTTCAAAAAACTGTTTATACGCAATAGCAACATTTAATATACATTATATACATTTTAGTTCAATAGCTCAATTCATCTAACTGTCGGTGAAACTGATCACAAGAGTGTTTGGATTGTTAATCTATGGAAGGATGTTGGATAGGTTCTATAATTAACTATTGGATTAATTTTCTGGTATCTTTTCCTTTTTTTCATATTTGTTTTGTGATACTTTTAATGCGAAATTGAGTTGAAAGCATTAGGTTGCTTTATTTTTTATAAGATGTAAACAATGTTTGAATTGGTGGGTTAGGATGCTTTATATATACAACAAGTATGAGCCGAGATAATCATTAATATTTATAATTAAAAAAAATCTCGTTAAATAATAACTATAGCCTCGAATCGATATGCAATACAATTTACATATATTAATTTGTTGAAAATGTTATATAATCTTTAAATTATGTAAAATTACATAAAATATCTATTTAAAATTAGTAAACAACGGTGTACACAACTGACAATATATTGCATTATAGTCGTTTCGAAATAAGGGTCATTTCAAAAATTTTATTCAGAATTTCGGTCTGACAATAATGTGATTGTATAAGAAGATATTTTGGTAAATTTTAGGGTTAATTGCTAAATAAACCCTAACTTTTTTGCGTTAGCAGTTTTATCTCAATCTTTAGATAATTGCAATATAATCTCGATCTCAATTTACTTATTGCAAATTTGGGTGCAGAGTGATTGATTTAGGAATTTGTGGATCGATTTTGTGTCCAAGTCTTCTATTGACATGGGCTTTTATGCCATCTACGTAGCAAGTTGACAATTTTCACGTACTTAATGTATATCCACGCACAAAGCCAAAAGTTCTATGTCAATGTAAGCTACCGGTGATGAGTCTTCTCCTAGATCTGGAGTGAACCGATAAATATGAGCTTCGATCTTTTCGAACCACCTTCAAATCGACCAGTATTTTGAAGGTCCAACTGGTTTTAGGTTCGACTTGCAATAAGTAAATTGAGGTCGAGATTATATTGCAATTACCCAAAGATTGAGATAAAATTGTCAAACGCAAAAAGGTTAAGGTTTATTTAGCAATTAACCCTAAATTTTATCATATATTTAACAACTTATGTGAATAATAAGTATAAATATAAAACTTATATTGTTTCATTATTTAAAATTATTTTTTTTTTGTATAAACTATTCAAATTAAAAAAATTAAGTAATTGAGTAATTTATTGAACTATAAATAATTGAATATTTCGTTTATGTCCAAATTAATATTGAAACATAAGTTATTGAGTAATTTATTAAACTATAAATAATTGACTATTTCGTTTACGTTCAAGTTAATATTGACCCGTAAGTTATGAATAATAATTTTATTATTTTTTTTATTTTAAATAAATTTTTTATTTTTATTTAATATATTATATACCAAATTTATACCATGCAACTAAAACCTATAAGTTTTCCCGCCAAAAGTCATTACAATAAATTATTATTATTATTATTATTATTATTATTATTATTATTATTATTATTATTATTATTATTATTATTATTATTATTTTTATCATCTATAATGGTTGGGAAAGTATTTAATAAAATTATTTTTAGTTTCCTTCCATTTTTTGTTATAAAATTATATCATTAATATTTTTTATCTTTCACATTAATAGGGTGTAATAATATTTTTACTATTATTATATAATTGTTAATGTTAATAGCAACTAATAACAATCCATTCCGCACTAAATAGTAATTACATAAGTATAACAATTATGTTGTAAAATTTTTCTTCAAACTATTTATTATGAAATAAATGTTATCTTTTTTTTTTGGAATCTAATGAAACAATTTTTTTATTTTTTATTTTTAAAAACTGTATACTTTTAAATTTAATAGATAGTCAAACCATTATAAAATCTTCATCTATATTTAAATAATTTATATTTATATACTTATTTTTACTAATGATCAAATCTTGAAAATGAGATATGTTCATTATCTATAGTTTTAAAATTCGCACATATTATTTTTATTATTTTATTTATCTGTGCATGTGTACAAGATGATTACTAGTAAAGGTAATAGCTCCAAGTTTTATGTTATACTCCAAATTTAAATCATGCAAAAAAAAAAAATATAATTGTCAGCTTCTCTAAACGCTATTTGTGAGTTTTGCCAATTAGAATTTGTCAAAAAAAATAAAAAATAAATAAAAATAACGCTTTTCCGACAAGTCTACACACCAAGGAATTTATTTATGATTAATTGCTAATAAATCCATGACTTTTTCGAAAATTGCAATTATATGCATCACTTT